TAAACTTGACCAGCAAAAAAACAGATCAACAAGAGGAAGACAAACCAGTTTACTAACTTGTGCGTCGCACAGGCCCACGGGAGCACTCAGAGATGCATAACCCAGAGGGGTGGTCAGAGCTCGGACTGAGGCGGCATCTTAACAAGAGAACGAGACATTTGTAGAGACGTGACAAGACAAAATAGAACAGACTTTGAGTTTTTAGGGCGGCAAATTGTGGGACGGCAAACCTGTGGGGGGAGGGGACTCACGGGAGGACAGGGCTGGCGTTATCAAGGTTCGTTATGTCTCATCCTCTGGTGCCGCCTCAGGCTGATAAGCGTCTGGAGTTGTCTCCAGTGACCGGCTTCTGTTCTTCCTGATAGAGAGGGGCGGGAGACACCCTTACAAGTTTATGTCTTGCTTTTAGGCAAATAGGGGGAGGAGAAACGGCTTTTCTTGTATCTGTTTTTTTGTCAGTTGCTTTTAGCTCAGAATAATTCTTAGGCCAAAGCGGAATATTCTAGAGCGGCATTTCACTGTGTGCACAGCACTGGGTCACGGGTCACGGTGGTGGCGGGACAGTGCAGCCCCAGCCCTAGCGGGGAGAGTGGGGTGGAGGGCTCTGGCCCCCAGCAGAGGTCACTGAGAACAGGGCATCAGGGGACGTCCTAGGAGAGGTAACGTCTGTGCTGAGCCCTCAAAGACGAGTCGGGCAGAGACGTGGAGGTAGCGATGTGTCAGGTGGAGGGAGCAGCAGGTGCAGAAGCTGAGAGCGTTCGCTACAGCCAGGGCATCGTGTGCGTGGCGTGGTTCCCTTGGCGATGGGGGTGGTGGGAGCCAGGGCACGGGCTGCATCCCCTGGAACCTGATGAGCCTCAGGAGTCTGGACTTCATCCTGGGGGAGCTGGGACCCCACAGGAGGATTTAAGCGGAGGATAGTGATGGCAGCTGTGCCTTTTAGAAGGAAGTCTGACATACGGGGTAGTTGAGTAGGGATGGGCCTGGGGAGGGGGCGGCCGCCCAGAGAGGCCGGGTGGGACTGGGGGCTGTGCTCAGTGCTGGCAGAAGCACAACCCCACCTCGAGGTGCTGTGTCCAGTTCCTCCCCTCCTCCTGACCCCCACCGGTCCCCAGCCCAGGATGACCTGGAAGAGAGGAAGGCGGGAGGCAGGAATCGCTGTCACCACGAATGGAGGTGGACAGTGAGAGGTGAGGTGACGTGGCCGGCTCGGTGGTTCAGAGAAGGCGCTGGGACCATCCGCGGCTACGTTGTCTGACAGACCCAGAAAGGGAGGGACAAGCGTGGGCTTCCCTTCGGAGGGTCCCCTAAGCTGGGCGGCTTTCGATGGGCAGGGCTGGGTGCAACTCTTGACCCGGGGTGCAGTTTATTTTAGTGGCTTTAAATTGTGTTTCTCCCCATGGACAAGTGAAGGTCTGATATAAACGTGCCCCCTGCCCCCGCCCTGTGCCACCGGTCACTTCGCGCCACCCAGAGTGCGCCAGGCCCTCCAGCACCCGCTCTCGTCACAGTCAGTGCCACAGGGACAGAGAAGGACGGGCGTGCATGTCGCCCGTCTTTAAACAAGTGTCCGGGAGGCAGGATGTCCACAGCCACTTACTCCCACAGTGGAGAGGGGGCGAGCCCTCCCCCGCAGCTTCCCGTTGGCCCTCCCGCTGTGAGCCTGCGTCACGTGGAGATGGGCGATAAGTTCACGGGCATCATCCTGAGTCTCTACTTTTGTATGTGCTGGAAGTTTTCCGGATCAGAAGTTTTTAAAACCTCTGTCCGTGAGGACAGGAAAGGGGTCTCACCTTTTTTATGACCGACTTTGCCAGGCGCCCCTTTTCAACGCATCAGTCTTGCCTGAAATCCACGACCATTTTATAGATGAGGATGCAGAGGCCCACGGAGGCCCCTGCCACCCAGAGCCATGAAGCTCGTGACAGGCAGGCTCAGGGTTCAGTCCCAGATTCCACGGCCTGTGCGTCTCAGGACCTTTCCACCTTCTTCAGTGCCTCCTAAAGGCACAGGTTTGAATCTGCAGGAGGCCTGTGTTTTTTAATCCGATTTCATGGTTTGCTGTGGATGACAGGGCGGTCGCTTAGCAGGTGCCTCTGGTCAGTGGTGCCCAGAGGCAGTGTCCCTGGACAGGACGGAGGTGGCTGTCACAAATCGAAGATCGCCTGCTGCCCTCGGTCCCTAGAGGGCTCCTGCACAGTGGGAAGAGCTAGGCAGTTGGCAGTCCTGCTCTTGGGGGTAAATCTTTGCTACTGGGATGCGAGAGTGTTAATCTCAGCCAGGGCGGTGTTCCTCAGACATTCGAGGACCCTGGCGCTCCCTGCTTAGACATTCACTGCCTGTGGCACCGGCTGCAGGAGCTGGGCCCGCCTCCCACTGCCTCCCACCGCCTCCCTCCGCCTCCCACCACCTCCGTCTCCATCACGCTCTGCTTCACCCTCCTCTTAGGTCCTCAGACCGGCCAACCTCTGGCCTCAGAGCAGAAGTTCGCAAAGCCGGTCCCCGGACCAGCAGCGTCATTGTCTCCCGGGAACTGTCAGGAGTGCAGACTCTCAGGCCTCGCCCCAGACCCCCAGGATCAGGGGCTCCGGGGTGGGGCCCCCGGTCTGTTCACAAGCCCTCCAGGGGAGTGCGTTGTGTGCGGAGGTCGGGGGCACCTGCTTTGAGAGCCTTCCCGCACCCCTTCTCGCTGGGCCGTGCTGTTCCTGGCCGTCTCGTCCTTCAGGTCCAGTTTTAATCTGACCTTCTGATTTCTCTCCGCCCTCTCCGTTCGCCCACAGCGCGTTATCACAGCGGGTGGTTACAGGTACTGGTTTCTTTACCAGCTTAGCTCTGTCTCCCTCACTAGATAATAAGCTCCCTGGGGCCAGGGGCCATGCCTGTTACATAGCAACGCCTCTCCATCACCTAGCAGGGTACCAGCCAGCAGCATGCACTAGATTACTCATGGAGTGAGTGAGCGAGTGAACGGGTGAATGAAGGGGGAATTCGTGAGACTGGTAGAGAGGCCGTGTGGGGGGTCGTGGTGGACGAGCCCTGAGCACAGGGACCTGGGCTCTGGCGGCTGCCGCCAGCTGACCTTGGGCAGCCCCCGCTCCCCGACCAGCCCCGCCCAGGCAGGAAGACCCGGCCACAGGTCTCCACCAGCCGGGCTTTGTCCTTCTGGGCCCGGTGGAAGGTGTTCTCTCCATTATGGGCACAAACACGCTTTCAGAGAAACATGGGCCGCAGCTACCTTAAACAACCCCATCCTGCCGCAAATACCCAGCTCCTTTTCTTCTAGAAAGTTCTCGAGTACAAAGGCAATTTTCTCTGGAAGAGATAAAGCTGGTCAGGCTGGTCCTCCGTGGGAGGGGCCAGCCCGCAAGCCTGGCAGGGAGAGAGAATTGAAAAGCTCTGCAAGGCCGTAACAAGATGTTCTCATAAGAGTTTGCCTGTCGGAGGTGACACTATTTATTTCTGAGGCGGCACGCACTCATTCTCTCTAGAGGCTAGAGGTCTTTTTACGAGCCTGCGTGTGAGGTGGTATACAGCCTGGGGCCGGAGGCAGTGAATGGTTTGGAGACAGCTTATCCCTCTCATTGTTCTTCTTCCTCCACGTCCTCCCACACAATTAGAAAAACAATGAAATGGAACAAGCATAGCGAGAGAGGAAAACAGTCAGTATCTGCACGTGTTTTGCCAAAGGTTCCATCATGCGGCCCGTTGCCACGGTGTTCAGTAACTCCAGCAGGGGACCGTGTGAGTGCCTGGTGCAGGAGGGGCCAACAACGGGGCAGCTCAAGGTCAAGGTGGGAAAGAAAGAAATGCGATGTCAGGGTGTCTGCCTAAGGGCCTGAGACGGCAGGCGGAGCCGGGGAGCTGGGAGGCGTTCCGGTGGCAGAGTGGCTGGGAGCTCAGGCCACACCAGGGGCTTTCTCCATGGAGACCGGGAGAGGCTTGGGGTGGGGGCCGCGCGATGGGAAAACCAGTTGGGACGCTGTGACAAGGTCAGGCGAGGGCTGGTGGGGCACGAGCAAAGGGAGTGGCGCTAAACGAGGCTGAGGTGGCGGATGAGAAACATTTGGGAGGGGCCGAGCAGGAGGCAGGAAGTGCAGCAGGGTCCCCAAGGACGTGGAGATGGGTGGGCAGCAGACGGGTGCTGGAGGTGGGGGCCTCGGGGTGGAAGGGAGGGAAGGGCTACTTCTTGGAGCTTTGCCAAGAGCTTGGGGCCAACGATGAAGTTAGAGGAAACAGTCCCCAAGACTGCTCTCACTTCGGACACCGTTTGTCATTTGGGGGTTCCTCAAAACCGCCTTCAGATTGAGTAATTCGTAATCACAGCACACTTGGAAGGTTGCGCAGTCACGGTTACGGCACGTAACAGGGAAAGGACACAGATTCAAATCAGCCAAGGGAAGAAGCACGTCATAGGAGGGTGTGTCCGGACTCGTCCCATGGGGCATGGACAGCGTGAATGCCTCGCAGCCACCAGGTGTGATGACCCACACAGGGTACCACCAACTAGGGGAGCCTACCCACGCCTTTCCAGAATATTGCTCGGGGCCTGAGCACATACTGTCCACGCGGCTGACCATTAGTCTCCAGTCCCTCCTGGAGGTCAGGCTGGTAACCGCATGGCACAAAGCTCCTGTCATCACTCACAGAGGTAGACTGTCCAGTGGCCAGATCCACTAGGCGAGCAAAGACACTCATAAAACAGGACGTCCCAGGGGGCCCAGAGGTCACCTCCGGGAGGCGAGGACAGGGCCACACATCTCGGGTAAGGTTAGTTCTCTGAATGCGCTTGCAGTGCGGCATGAGGAAGGCACAGGAGGGGGACAAGGCCCTCGGACACTTAGGTGGCAGGGAGCGGCCCCGAGCGGTGCTGCCTGCACCCGGATGCGCACGCCCTCGTCGTGGGTGTCCGCGGCCAGGCGGTGGCGGTTCACTCACCTGGCTTGTCTCCGAGGCATCTGTAGGTGTTTTTCATAGCTGTCGTGTGCTGGGCGCAGGAGCAGAGACAGCCAGGGTGTGGTGCAAAGAACGTTTACACCGTCGGTGGCCGTGACCTTGGGCTCTCCCTTTACATCAGTCCTCACGGTGACGTGTGTCATGGAGGTACCTACAGGGTTGTCCCGAGGGTTGTATGCGACCCTAAGTATGGGAATCCTTTGCACAGGTAGCAAGAAGCAAGAACGCAGGGTGTTTAAAATCCCACTTCTGAAGACGGTTGTTTGCTAGGATCAGTCTTCGGTGTTGGTTTATAGGGAGGCGCCATAATACTTTCGGGAACATGCCACGCGGTGTTGGGGGAATCGCCCCTGGAATAATGTCTCTTCTTTGGCTCCAGGTGAGGCTGCAGGTCGGGCTGTACGCCGTGTATCTCCTGGACTGGCTCACTGTTTTCAATAAAGAACAGTTCCTCGTTCTTCGCCTGGAAGACCACGCATCCAACGTCAGCTACACCATGCACAGGGTCTTCCAGTTTCTCAGCCTCGGTACGACTGTCGCTCTGGAGACCCACGGCGCAGGGCTGGAGCTCCGTGGACGCTGGCCCTGTGAGGTCCTCGCTGAGTCACGTGCAGACTCCGTGAGCTGGGCCGGGGCAGGCTGAGCACCTGTTGGTCAAGCACCAATGGCACATGGGGTCTTGTGCACCACGGGGTGAGGGGTCTCTGGGGAGGAAGAGATGGCTTCTCATATGGGAGCTTACTGTCCGCTGAGGGCGAGGGGTAGCTGATAGGACGATGCGGGGGAAGGTCAGCGTCATCACAGTAGGGTCGTCCAGATGACTCGGGGTCCCAGCTGCTGAAGGGATCACAGAAGGCTTCATAGAAGGAAACAGTCTGTGAGTTGAGCCTTGGGGACAGACAGGAAGTCATTGGGTGGCTGGGACAGTCTTGCAGAAGCCACAGGGCTTGGAGGAGGGGCAGACAGGACATCGCATTATCTCAAGTGTTGTTGGGGACCCCTGGAATCAGAGCCATGTGGCTGGGAGTTGCCTGCTGGTCCTGGCTCTTGGACTTCTGGGGAGCAGAAATCTATCTATTTGCACACCAGTGGGACTTGGGACCCTTTGTTCATTTGATTTTCTTTCTCCTTTTCTTGGAGAGCTGGAGTGTGATTATTTTTTCCTTCTAAGACCTCGAACCAATTTTATTTGCTTTGGCCACCTGTAGACTCTAGCATTAATGAGCTTGTCCTTAGTCCCTAAGAAGGACAGGAAGGCCATTCCATTTCTTCTGTTTCCTATAACCCAAGGACGTGCATGGGCCCAGGACTTTGGCCAGAACCCAAGAGCCTTGGGCAAAGAGACGTCAGTGGACCAGTGGGTTAAGCCAGCGAGAGGCTGATGGTCCAGAGGGCTGGGGATGGAGCTGGCAGCCTTGGATGGCAGCACTTGCTGGCTCGTTCCCTGGGCCCCTCCCCACTGATGGCCTTGCTGCAGCTGGAGGTTCCGTCAGTGGGGTCTCTGGGCACAGGCAGCATTTCTTCTCTCCCCACCCTGTTACCACTTCACAGCAAGACGGTGAATTATGGCCCAGCCACGGGGCCCTTTGCATCAGTAGCCGGAAGTAGAAATGACGGGGGCAGAATTCCAGTGGGCTGGTTACTAGGAAAATGTAGGTACATGGGCTGAGCCTGGCAGGTCGCGCAGTTGTCCAGGGACAGGCTGACACATAGGAGCCAGTCCTTTACGGGCAGTTGGAAATGAAACCAGGAGGCGAGGCGCAGGTGAGGTGGCAGCCTAAAGCTCCAGGTGCGCCTCTGAGGGTGGGTGTCCAATGCCGGCCTCAGTGTCTGCCGTTCGTTATGCTGTTTGGACCTTCCACCCTCGGCAGCTCTGAAGTGGATCCAGCCAAGGAATTTTGATCTCCAAACACATTCTTAAGGGAAGGAAACTCCTGTCTCAACACGAAGCTTGGCTGGCATTTCTGCAAAGTTCCTTTGGCCTCCTGCCTCACAGGATTTTTTCTTTGTATTCCAGGGCCCTTAAATGAGAAACAAATGGCCTTGATGACAAAGAGCCCCGCGTCCAACGCCCGGCGTCCTGAGGACCGGAGCCTGGGGCCCATGTGGCCAGTCACGCAGAGGATCCTGCAGGACTTCTACCGGCCTTTCAATGCCAGGCTGGCACAGGTCCTTGCCGACAAGGCCTTCGCCTGGAGGAAGACGTGAGGCTGAGTCCCCGCCGTCAGCACGGGCCCACGGCTTGGTCGTTGCCACGATTATGAAAATCTCTCTGTGGGGACCGCCGTCCTCATAGCGTGCAGAAAACCCCGAGATTCGAGGCTTCTTTCCCTCCCAGGCACGTGTTTATTACAACCTCTCGGAATGTCCTCTGTGACGGCAAATAGCCTGGCAGCTGACCCTCCGCAGCGCTCCTCTGCTGGGCACCTGGACACCCCACTTCTATCACCTTCTGCTCCGAGAGTGGCCGGCGCTCGGGGAGGCGAGGCCGGCGGGAGCTGGGCCGGTGCCGAGAGGGAGGCGTTGAACGTGGGGCTTGACGGTTCTGGGATCCGACCGAGCGAGTTCGAGGTCGCGCCACGGGGCTTGCTGGCTCTTCCTTCGCATTCAGTTCCGAAACACTCTGTGTCGGGATTTCTGCAAAGATCACTGACTCATTTGGCAGGAAATCGGAGGCTCTTGCATTTTTTTCCCCTTTTACTGCAAAGTCAGCCCTCAGTCTCTTCAGAGATAAACCCCCCTGTCTCTGCGACCTCCTCCCCGCCCCCTGTGGACTTAGTGTCTGACATGGAAAATGAATGCGCTCGAAACGAGCCACTTTCTGTTTCCACTCGCCAGAGCTCTCTTTTCTGCCTCTTGAGAAGTTTCCACAAGCGTCGATTCAGTTCATGCTCGAAGTGTAAATTCAGTTTATCCCTGGGAGGGAGATTTGGGCTGTTAATGCCAGACTGAGCAGCTTGCAGGAGCCGAATGCTTCGTGGGCATCTAGGTAACCGGACCGTCCTTCACTCGGCCATCACCCCGGGAGGGCGTTTGAGGTGTTCGGCCTGGCCGCCCACAAGCTCCACTGCTCTGCCTCCCCCCGGAGTGAGCCTGTGACCCCCGTGCTCTGCTGTGTGTGGCCGGAGGCCCCTACTCTGCACAGACTGCAAGGTGCTCCTGGTCTGAGGCAGAGACACAACGCGTGAGCCAAACCAAGGCTGAACGTGGCAGGTCGGGATTCTTAATGGAACTTTCTGGGCCACGTGGCAGCTTGCTTCACTGATGGGTCAGCTAAAGGTTTTGTCATTTTGTCATATCGGAGGCGATGGGGAAAGCCCAGGCGGGACCCCAGGGAGGCTTTGCCCTGGGGCGTCATCCAGGGGAGCTCGCTGCAAACCGGGGTTCTCAGGCTGGGCCCTGGACGCAGTCGGTGCCCAGACCCCTCCGTGCCCAGCTGTCACTCGCAGACGTGAGGGTTTGCTCAGGCTCCAGCCCTTGTGCCATGGTGGTTCTGCCGTCAGAGGTGGGACACACGGCCCCTTTGAAGGCGGGCGGAGGGCCCTGGTCCCGGCACAGCCAGGCCGCAGTCTGCTGCTGACGGAGCTGTGTGTGCTGGACACCCACCTTCAGGGACAGCCCCCTGTCCTCTCACTGGGCACTCCGTGCAGCAGCCCCCCGGGAAACCTGGCCCTAGCACAGGGTGCGTTAGGGGACAGACAGCACGGCAACGTGTGTGTGTATTTATTTGCAGCACAGGGTGTGTGTGGGTGCATGTGTGGGTGTGTTTTCTGAGCCGCCCCCCTCAGTTCTGTGGCCGATGAGGCTCCTCCGCTCTGGACATCACCGTTTTATGGATTAATGTCTCTGCCAATTAACTTGTCGCGTTCAGTACACGTTTTGCTCTTCCCGCCAACCGTAATCACGGCAAGGGACTTTTTTAGGCACTCCTACGCATGTGAATGACATGCAGCGTAATTCTGCTTCTTACAGAAGTATCACCGACAGTATTGTTTCCAATATTATTTGGTCTATTACACACATCTTTTTATACACGCAGGTCCATCCGTCCTGTGCCAGTGAGTGCCATCCAGACACGGTCTCTCTCAAGGGGCCTTGCTCCGAAGGGTGCAGCCCTTTGCTTTCTCTCGTTCGAGGCCCATTCTTGTAGACAGCACGGGTGTCATTTCGCGTGGCGGTCCCGGAGCCTGTCACCCCAAACCAAAGCGAAATGGAGCATTTCTCACGACCTGGTATTGAAGTTACTTTGTGTTCTCCGAAGCCGCGGATGGGATTGTATGACACTGTCCCCTAGTCCCGTAAAGTATGTTACGTGAACCACAGTGATGCTGTACTTTTCTTACTATTTACCGGAATTAAATGTGGACCCCCCTATGACCGGTCCCCAAAAGCACAGCCTCTTCCTTGCCGTCATCGGCGCCCGTGGCGGGTTCTCTCCATGGCATCCACTGAGCATGAATGAATTGTGGAAGGAGATCAGTTTCTCACTTGCATGCGTTGTACACTCTGTCCGATGGGGAACTTCCACCGACGGTGACCAGTGAGAGAGAGAAGACCCCTCTCTCTCAGGTAGAAGGGTTGAGACTTCACCAGCGACTCCGTGCGTGGGCCTGCCCGGGTGTGCGTCAGGGTGGCGAGGTCCAGCCTGACCGCAGACAAGCCACATGTCTTCAGACGTTCGGATTTGAAGGTTGGGTGACCACAGGCCCTGCCATTCCCAGTGGCCACTCTCAACATGGCTGCTTCCCTCTTTCCCCTGGCCTGCCTGGCCCCTGGGGGCTGCGGGTTTGAGACCCCTGGTGTCATTGGTACATGTCATTCTCCCTAGACACTCAAGGTGCCCTGGCTGCACCTGGGGAGGGACAAGCCCGAGGGAGGAGATGGGATTGTCTCTAGTTTGGGGTTCTGGAAGTCACTGGGGACCATGTGGACCATGGGTTGGTTCCCCAGTTCTGGAAAGACCCACCCCGTGAGGGCCTCTCTCGCCAGCACTGTCCCCACAGTGGTGTGTTGTAGCAAGGGGGGCTGGTGAGTCCAGACTGGAACCAAGGAGGACCCCGTCTCTTGGTGACAGGGTCAGGAGCAGCTTTACTCAGCAGAGACAGTACTGTGTCTGAGGAGAAGGGGCGGGGGACGTGGGCGGGACAGGTACGTCACGAGGGTGGGCGCACGCTCCCTTTCCCTCTCTGCCGTGTGGCCACCACCCCCCACTCGGGAACCAGCTCTCAGGGGACCTTCTGATGAGGGTCAGCTGCGTCTTAATCTCCCTCGGAATGACCTCTCCCCAGAGGACCTGTCTGGGGACTGACACGAAGGCAGTGCCTGGCGGGGGCGTCCTAGGCTCACCCCGTGGAGAGGGGGCACCATGTGTGGGTGGGGGTTCCTGCTGCTCCAGGACTCAGCCTGTGGGCAGCCGTATTGCCTGTGGGTGAGGCAGAGCCTCTTGAAACTCATGGGAAGATGACACTTTCCAGAACCTCGCCCGGCAGGGCTCCCTGTCGAGCAGCCAAGTGGACCAGGTCCCATGGGAGGGGCAGCCGTCGGGCCTCGGGAGCTGCCCAAGTGTCCCACGCCTGCAGTAACAAGTTACCCCAAGTTGAGTGGCTTCAAACACATCTATTATCTGATGGTTCTGGAAGTCGGAAACCCAAAGTCAGTCTTGTGTGGGCAGGGCTGGTTCCTCCTAGAGGCTCTAGAGAGGAACCGTGTCCTTGTCTCTCCCAGCCTCTCGGTATCCCTCAGCTCGTAGTCCCTCCACCTTCAAGTGCCCCGTTCTGAGATGGCGCGTCTTCCTGTCCAGGCCAGGCCCTGTCATTGGAGCGAGCGAGACAGGGTGAAAGACCCACCTTTCTCCCCAATTCAGATTGCAGGTCACTCTTTTGTATGTTTCTCCCTAGTGAGCCAACAGCCCCTCCTCCAACCCTATCATGGGACTATTTGTCCAGCTCTGGGTAGAAGTGAGGTTTGAGAACTTACAAGTTTTTTTTAAGTTATTTTCTTGGTTCCCCAGGAGACCTGTGCCAGCCACCTGGGCAGTGCTGAGTTTCTGAAGTTCAGATGTTTTTGAGTTAGTTATACTTCTAAGGGAGCAGCTTGTGAAAGCTGCACAAATGGTTAGAGTGTCTTCCGGTCCCTGAGAGCTCCTCTGTGGCCCCAGACTCTCACTGTGGATGGCTTTGGAAGGCTGGCTTCCTGCCTCACTTTCGTCAGTCGTTCCTGATGGCCCCGAGTGGACTTGACTCCACAACCTCCCTGCTCCTGACGTCCCCCACCCCCTTGCACTGGCTGCGCCCCTGCACCTCTCCTTGCTGAATGTGCAAATCTGCTTGCGAGCTCTTGGGCAGTCGCATCAGAAGTGGACTGAATGCCCAGGGCTCAGCCTTCCCGTGAGTCTCAAAAGCACCAAGGGGACACACTCCAGCTATAAAATGTGCAAAGAGTCCGAATGTAATGTCATAGCAAATGTTTTCTGAACATCTGCTTTGCATGAGGCCCTGGGCCAGGCATTGGGGTAGGGTGGCGTGGGAAGTGGTTCATTTGCTCGTTCATTGGTTCCTTTGCTTATTGCTTCACCAATTATTTATGGTGAGGCAACGGGGGGCAGCGGTCAAAGGCGAAGATTAGACTTGGAGCCCGGTGTCCAGAGTAGGAGAAGATGAGCTGGGTTGAGTCAACATCCTCAAAGCATCTATAACTGGAGAGTTAATTGCACACGTTGGAAACATGGGGAAATCCCACTTCACCACAGATACGTTCCTTAAACATTTAATCTTTACTTAAAATACTTAGGGTTCATTAATTCGTCTTTTCATGCAAGAGCCAAAGCCTCTCCTCGGAGCATGAGTCTGCAGGTAGGAGTTCAGGGTCATCTCCGTTGCCAAAACCACATCTGGCCGAGTCAGCACCGGTTTCGGTTTCGGTTCTCTAAAGGGCACGAGAATGGAACACTCGCGAAGGCGTCCGAGCCCGTCCTCCAGCCTTTGTGTGGTTAGGCTCCTCAAATTGTTTCCCTCGTCTTTGCTGGGACTTTCCAACGCTTTCAAACTGCTTTTCAGAACACGTTTCACTCGTTCACATCTGCGGTTCTCGGGAGTGGTCCAGGGTGCTGGGGACCCTCAAGATCTTTGAGGAGACCTACCAGTCACAACTGTGTTCGGGGTTGTACCAACACGCCCTTTCCAGTCTCGCTTCCTCACGAAGGTACCGGGGACGGCTTCGAGCAGTCGCAGCCCACGCCGGAAGCCGATGGGACACGCGCTTGTGCGTTTGTGTGCTTTAGCGTCTCTCAGCTTTAGTCTCGAATATAGTAAATATTGGGAGTGTAAATGACATAAACAAAAGCTCTGGGATCTTCATTACTTTTTCAGAGAGAAAAGGAGTCTTGAGACCAAACAGTGTGAGAACGGCTAGCTTATATATATTTGATTAAATTGTGCATATATAATATCAAGTGCAACTGCCATAAGAAAGACTTGGGAACAATCATTATTGATTTATTGTAAAATAAATAGAATCGACCGGAGGGCGTTTTACAGATGGCCGAGAGCCTTGGGCATCATCGAGGTGTTTAGGGAACGAGGAGATGGACATCTGTCAGCTGCGGAGGCCGATGAGAGGCCACCTATGGTAAAGAGGGGACAATGCTACCAGCTATTCACTGAGCACCTGCTGAGAACCGGGCCCTGGGCTAAGTGCACCTTTGCGTGACTCTTTGGATGCTTATCGCCACGCTAGGGAGGAGGTTCTGTCTTTATTCTGGTTCTACCGTTATAAAGGTGGGGAAACTGAGGCTCAGATGGGCCAAATAGGGAGGCCTGGACCCCTTGGCTCCTGAGGAGCAGAGCTGCTCCTTGATCTCAGGGCTGCTGGCAACGGGGCTTGAGTCTCACCCTACTGTTCTTACCTCTTAGTTCCTGAAGCGTGAGCTTCCACAGAGGTGGGCGGAAAGGGCGGAGCCTGGCGGGAGTGGTCCTTGCAGGTGGCCTGGGCTGGGAAGCGGACACCGGCACTTGGGACTGAGCGGGCTGGGCAGCATCTTCGAGGCTGTTCCCTTGTGGAAGCGGCAGAATAGGCCTGGACAGCACCCCACGCTCCCTGCATCCCCTGGGGGGCACAGCCTTACAAGGACTGTTGGGGCCAACCCACTCCTGGCCTCCACTGCCACCTCACTGCACCCCTGTGCCCTGCGCTGCCTGGACGGTGGCAGAGGGGCCCTCAGGAGGAGGCCTCCCCCTTGGGGAGGTGGAGCAGGTGGGACTGGATGCTCCACGTGCCCTTCCACCTCACAGTCGAAGACTTTCTCTGAGGCCAGAAACCTGGCTGCCTCCTAAACAGCCAGTCCTGGAGCTAGTCTGGGGCCCTGGCCAGCCAGCGGCTCCTGCCCCCACTGCTGGTCAGAGTCATGGTTGAGGAATGGGGTGCGGCCCCTCTCCTCTTCAGGGCAGACCTCCAGATCTCGGAGGGGCAACGGACATCCCAAATTAGGCCCCACAGTCTCCATGGAGACCATTTGTTTACCCCACCTCCACATGAGCTAATCTGGAGAACTGCCATCCTCTGAACTTTCAACATAATGGGATTCAGGAAAATTCCAAAGCCATACCAGCCCCCAATTCTACAGGCAGAACCTAGGCGGCCTGCGTGGGTCTCAGGGCGTGGGCACACGCCTTGGTCTGGCCTCTAACCTTCTCCTGTCTCCCCTTAGAGAACACCCGCCCCACCCACGCTCCCAAGGTTCTGTCCCCCTGCTCTTGCCCAAGCCATTACTCCACCAGGAGTGCCCACCTCCCCACTGTTCAACTGAGTCAGCTTCTTACCCTCCCCCAAGACCAAGTTCAAGCGTCGCATCCTCCTCCATGACGGCCTCCTAGATTCCACCCTCCCTCCTCTCGGCCTGCTCGAGGAAGTCCCTGCAGCGTCTAGCCCTCTCCCATCTAGTGTGGCACTGATGACTTTCTGTAGTCATGTCTGTGTTTCCATCTCCCGTTTAGCAAACTCTGGGGACCCCTACCCCCAGTACCAGCATGGAGCGATATCACTGAGAGGAAGGCAGTGGGCGCCTGGAGAGGACTGAACTGGAAGCTGGGTTGCTGGATGACATTGGACAAAGCGATTTAACTTCTCCGAACCTCAGTTTCCCCAGCCACTGACCGGGGTTGGGGGCCTGGAAGATTTCGAGGGCCCTTTCAGATCTGCCTTTCTCATTGCCTCTTGAAAACCTGTCACTTTCTCCAAGTTGCTAGTTCCTAAGGCTTTTTGTAAAGGAAGTGTGTGGAAAAGGGAAGGAGAAGGGGAGGGGTGGGAGTGGCAACCCCTCCCCATCCTTTTGGAATACTGGGATGGCAGGAGGCACCGAAATGCAGCCCTGCGCTGCCCCTGTGTGGCTGGCTC